CATGCAGGTGTACTGTACAGTCAGTATCTACGGGAGCTGTTAATTAAAGTCAATATTCTCCAGGTATATACGATGACCCGCAGTTATGTCTTGATCCTCCAGTATATCATTTAATGTGTTGTGCTTCAGCTGTTATAGGTATATATATACGGTGGAGTTACGTTACTGTTAGAGGAGATATGGATTATTATTAAATGACTCGATATATGCTTGTCCACAAGTTCCCATGCACCGCTACCAAAAATGAATAAATAAATAAATAAATAAAAATATCACATGTAATACTTATAATTTTAATCGTATCCTTTTTTATATTTTTTGGTTCGTTTTTATTGTTATTGAATTTTTTTTTTATTATTGTTATTTTCGTAGTTCGTGGTTAATGGGTAGTAATTAAGCAATTGAAAGTGGAGCGGTTATTATTATTATTTTTTGTGTCAATTATCACCTCCAATTAGGGTAGGTGAGAGTCATTAATGGCATCATTAGTTATATATATATATATTTATATATAATTGATGATAAATTTATATTGTAATTATATATTGATCTCACTTGATTGCCTACGCGATTTTGGCCGTTCTCACACACACACCGTTAAATAATAATCAATAATTAAATTTTATCTCATCAAATATAACTCCTTTCCACTTCCAAAATTAATCTCGATTAATCCGGTTAATTTATCATTCGATTCCAGTACAGGTATTTTATTAATGAAATTTTAAAGTACGGTTAATAATGGTATGCGTAAATAACCTCTTCTATTATGAGTTATTACACCGAACATCACCACCAGCTGTCTGTATCGTCGTTAGCTGTCTGTATCGTCGCCAGCCGCTTAAGCGTCTGTATCGTCGTTAGCTGTCTGTATCGTCGTTAGCTGTCTGTATCGTCGTTAGCTGTCTGTATCGTCGTTAGCTGTCTGTATCGTCGTTAGCTGTCTGTATCGTCGTTAGCTGTCTGTATCGTCGCCAGCTGTCTGTATCGTCGCCAGCTGTCTGTATCGTCGCCAGCTGTCTGTATCGTCGTTAGCTGTCTGTGGTTAAGCGGTGTTGTTATTGTATTGACTGTGACACAGAAACGGTCACAGCGGTACCTCACGTGTACCCACATACTCACACATGCATACAAATGTTACACGCACACACACACACACACGCACACACACACACGCAGAACACAAAAACAATTACATACATACATATATACACACACACCACCGCCTTCGTCTCAACGCCTCGTGAACGCCCCTTGCAAGGTTATGCGTTCAAAACCTAGAGTTCATCTTACCTGCGTTGGTTAGGTCAATGAACGCCTCTTCCGACTGACAAGCGTTGAAAGGCTGTCTCTATAATACACAGCTCAACGCAGAAATGAGAGGAATAAATCCGGATAAATAAAAAGAACACGAGAAATAATGGAAATAAATCAACGAAGATGAAATAAAGATAATTGATAGAAGAAGAATTGAAATACACGAAAGAAGAAGAATTATGAAGATATATGAAAGAAGAATAAATAATGAAAATAAATAAAAGAAGAAGAGAAAGAACGAAGGGAAATAAAGAACACAAGATAAAACAAAAAATAAATAAAGAAACAAACATAGGAAACGAACAAAGAGATGGGAATAAATAAGAACAGCGAAATAAATAAGGAATAAACACGGAAAATAAGGGAAAAAACAATCAAGAAAATGAGAAAATACGTAACAGGAGATAAGATAACAGGGAAAATTAATTAACGAATAAGCAACTGCATAATAGGAGGAGGAGGAGGAGGAGATAATAAATTACGAAAGAGAAGAACAAGGAAATAACTAAAATAAACAGAGAAATGCAAAGAAAAATGAGAAATTTCAAGAAGAAAAATAAACAAGACAGATAACAGAAGAAGACAACAAGGAAATAAAGAGAAGAAAACAATTATTAAAACAAAAAAACAAAATAAAGACAACAAAGAAATCAGACAAACAAGGAAAATAAAGAAACAAATCAAAATAAAGAAAAAACAAACAAAAGAGAACTACAAATAAAATGTCCACAAGAAAACGGATGAGAAAGACATGGATAATGAATAAAGACAATAATTAAAAAAAAACAGAGAACAAACCCCCACACGTCTGTCCCCTTGTTGTACACCACCACACAAGACGCGTTATTATTATTATTATTATTATTATTATTATTATTATTATTATTATTATTATTATTATTATTATTATTATTTTTATTATATTACAACAAATTATCTTTATATTTATTTATCGATTTTGTTTTTGTTTTTTATTGTCAACTTTTTCACATATATGATTGTGTGTTTGTTCGTTTGTTTTTGTTCGTGTGTGTTTTTATGTGTATTCGCTAATGTTATGAATCATACATTTTTTATACATTGTTACCGCTCAACCATACATCGATATACATGCACTGTTACTGCTTAATCATACGTTTTTATACATTATTACCGCCCAATCATACATATTCCTTTCATTCGCCTCAAACCATACATATTATACATTCTTCCTTACAATTATACACAACAGGAAATACAATTACCCTCTTCACTGTACATACCTCCAGCTAGTTAAGTATACAGTATTAACGACCATTATCTGTGTTGGTGTACGCTTTTCGCTGTTAACGGATAGCCATAGCCGCCTTTTGGAGTACAGTAAAACCTTTAGATAACGGACTTGGATTTAACGGATTCTCTTTTTTTCCATTGATCGAGTCCGTTAGAAGGAAGTTTCGTATATAACGGACGGATTTTGATCGAACGGACTATATTTTCTCATTTATTGGTCCATTAAATATCAGGTTTCACTGTTTTAGACTGAATGTATTACAGTACTCTCTCTCTCTCTCTTTCTCTCTTTATTTTTCTCTATCTCATTCCCTATCTAACCTACCTCTCTCTCTCTCTCTCTCTCTCTCTCTCTCTGTCATTCTAAACAGTTATTGCCTCCTTTATTCACTGACCTTCTCTTCACCTCACTAACTCTCTCATTTACTCTTATTGATTTGCACACATTCCTCCTCCTCCTCCCCCCTCCCTCCCATCCCAGTGTTGTATCGTCGAAATAGAAGAGTTTCCTGCAACCATATACTGTCAACCTGGCTCTCTCTCTCTCTCTCTCTCTCTCTCTCTCTCTCTCTCTCTCTCTCGTGTGTGTGTATGTTCTGTCTCTCTGTCTGGTTTGTATGTTCTTTCTCTGTCTTTCTTTTATCTTTGGGGTTAGGTTAGGTTAGGTTAGGTTAGCGTTAAGGGGTGTTTAATCATCAGGTGAATTAAACAAGGGGGAACTAATTTTCAGATTATCTCATCTGTAACACATTTGGTACACCGAACCTCCGTCACATATGGTTTACAGTCGCTCTCCGCTGCCCCTGCAAGACGTACGTGTGTGCGTGTATGTGGTGTGTGCGTGTGTGTGTGTGTGTGTGTGTCATATTAGTTTTCTTTTAGTTCTCTACCTGTCACGTGATAAATGGCAGAGGTGTCGTCCGTGTCAACAAATGTGTACTAAAGGATGAAAAGGATGAGGAGATATATTTTTTTTTTATCTGTGTGTAAAGGCAGAGTTGATCACCTGACAGCTTACAGTATACAAACAGCTGATGTGTTTTAAAAATAGAAGTTTGCTCAGGTAGAAACACGACTAACGAGACGAGATGCTAACCCGCTCTATGGTAATGAATTCTAAAAGAAGTTATTACTCAAACTAATGAATTTCCAATAAGTGTGTGTGTGTGTGGAAGTCGTTCGTGTGTGTGTGTGTGTGGGGGTCTGGATTCGTGTGTGTGTGTCTCCGGCAGCCCATATACATTAAACAGCTAGTCTCGTCCGTCCACACGCGTACAGTGACACCTGGTAACAGCTTCATAATGACATACATATAATACAGTACTCTTGAATACTGATGAGGAGATGAGGTTTACATGCCGCAGTTTAGGGTGTGTGGGGGTGTGGTGGTGTGTGAGGTGGGTGTTAAGGGGTGTGGTAAGGGTGTGGTGTGTGTGAGGGTGGGTGTTAAGGGTGTGGTGTGTGTGTGTTCAGGTGGGCGGTGTGTGAGGATGGGCGGTGTGTGAGGGTGGGTGGTAAACATAAGACAGTGGGCGGTGGTTGTAGCGGCCGTGCATGTCACCACCCAACGTATCAACTTGTCATCTTAACACCCAGGATTTCAGTTATATCGTAGACATGACACTGCGGTGATAATGGAGAGAGAGAGAGAGAGAGAGAGAAACACCTCGCCTACTGTATCATGCTTGGTCAGGTCGCGGGTGATACCATCTCCCATAACCGCCGCTAATATCGTGCACACCCTCACTGTATGGCTTGTCGCTCTTAGCCCGCTGGCCTCTACACTCGCCGCTGGCTTCTGCCTCGCCCGCTGGCCTCTACCTCGCCCGCTAGCCTCTGCCTCGCCCTTTGGCTTCTACCTCACTGGCTCTACCTCGCCCGCTGGCGCTACCTCGCCGCCTTCACCTGTGGGTTTCTGAGGGGGAAGGTTGTTGTTTTTCTCTGGTTTAAAACTCAAGATAAGTTAATGTGCCGACTTTGTCAAGTGGTGGCCGGGCCAGTAGTGTGTTGACAGTGTCAGTTGTTCACTCATAATCATTCAATATTTTTTCTTTGAATAAGATGTTGAAAAAACAGATGATGCGTAAAATGTATAATTTTAATCATGTGGTGGACCCGACCCGGCCTGGTAGGCCACACACACGGCTGCGTCAGGTCCGCACTAGTTACAAGATAATAATCCCTCAAGTTACAACTCGTACATCAAGGCGGCGCGGGCGAATACCCTGCCATTGTATCCCGTGTGGTGGGTTAAGGCGGGCGTGCTGGCCATCATCAGTAGGCGCGCGAGTGCTCCCGCCCGCGCACCGGCCCACGCCTCCTTCATCGCCGCTCGTAAATCATGAGTGAATCTCCTGACAGCACAACAATGACAGGAAACACGAAAAGCACATAACGTGGCGGCGACCTACCTTTGTGTTGGCGGGAGAGTGGCTGAGTCTGGCCCTTCCGTCGCCTCCGAGTCTCCGCCGCGGCCCACACACGCCCACCTCGCCTGCTTCGTTGCCTCTTGTAAAGGTTTTTGAAGAATAGCCTGCGGCAGAGATCTCCGCCGTGATAAGGCGGGATTCGCACTGCGTGTCCCGCTTTCCGATTATATCCAGCTAGTAAAAGGATAGCATAGCCCCGAGTTCACTGGCTGTCTCATTCGGTATTTGTAATACGGAGGAGGCATAGGCTGGCGACTCACGGTAAGGCGGAGCCACGCGGCCGAGAGCCAGACACTCTGCACGCTTCGGAATTGAGGTGGATCGAGTTGTGTGCGCACGCACTTGGAACCTCCCACCGCCGCTAATCTTCCGGGGCGGGAAATGATATATGTACTCCTTGACATAAATCCAGTATCCTAATTATTTTTAACTCCTACCTGGGGCCTGCACATACCAGATAAAATTCCGGGGGATTGCGAGAACAGACATTTGTACGGACAACCAGCAGAGTATAACAAGTAGCGCGACCGCAGGTAAATACGCCAGGCCGACCCCGCGATGGTCTCATACCGGCCGGGGCCTGTCCTGTATGGTAGGTAGAGATGATGAGTGTTGCCAGCTGCTGTTAAACCTTTTAATTATCTACTGCAAGACTGGTGGGCCTCTACCTCCATTATATCACCTGCACTTTATCCATGAGTGCAGTGCTACTAATACACAGCCTCACACACCCCTACACACACCCCTACATCCTCACAGACACCCTACACTAACACATCCCTACACCCTAACACACACCCCTACACTAGCACACACCCCTACACCCCTAACACACACCTACATCCCTCCACAGACCTACACTTACACTGTACACACCTACTTTCTTACACCTACACTAACACACTTCATCATAAGACACCCTGCACTACTTACACACTGCTTACACACCCCTGCATACAACACACCCCCTACACTAACACACCTCTGCATCCTCACAGACACCCCCTGCACCCTAACACACATCCCTACACTAACACACCCCTACACTAACACACCCCTACATCCTCACAGACACTACACCTAACACACCTACACCCTAACACACCCCTACACCTCACAGACACTACACCTACAGCACTACACACCTAACACACATACACCTCACACACACCCCTACACACCCCACATCCTCACACCCCTACCTCACACACCCTTACACCCTCACACACACACACCTCATACACACCCCTACATCCTCACACACACCTACACCCTCACACACACCCCTACACCCTCACACACCCCTACACCCTCACACACCCCTACACCCTCACACCACACCCCTACACCCTAACACACCCCTACACCTCACACACCCCTACATCCTCCACACACACTACATCCTCCACACACCCCTACACCCTCACACACACCCTTACACCCTCACACACACCTACTCACACACACACCCTACACCCTCACACACACCCCTACACCGCCTCACACACCCATACACCCTCACACCCCTACACCCTCACACACACCCTACACCCTCACACACACCCCTACACCCTCACACACACACACCCCTACATCCTCACACACCCCTACACCTCACACACACACCCCTACACCCTCACACACACCCATACACCCTCACACACACTTTCACCCTCACACTTTCACACCCTCACCCTACACCCTCACACACCCCCTACATCCTCACACCCCATTCTCCACCCATACCTCACACACCTACATCCTCCACACACACCTACACCTCACACACCCTGTTCACACACACCCTACGCCTCACACACTGTCACCCTCACGCACACCCCTACACCTCACACACACACCCCTACACCTCACTACACCTCCACTACACCCTCACACGCTCCTACACCCTCACACACACTCCCTACACCCTCACCCACACCACGCACAGCCTACGCCTCACACACACACCCTACACCCTCACCTTCCTACACCTCACACCCACACACCTCGCCTCCACCTCCTGCCCTCCACACACCCTACACCCCACACCTAGCCCTACACCCTCACCACACACCCTACACCCTCACACCCCTCCTACACCCTCCACCACACACCCTACACCCTCACCACACACCTACACCCTCACACCCTCACCTCACACACACACACACCTCACCCTACACCCTCACACACACACACCTCACACACACACACACACACCCCTACACCCTCACACACACACACCCCTACACTGCACCTCACACACACCCCTACACTCTCACACACCTCACACCTCTACACCCTCACACCCCTGCCCTCACACACCCTACACCTTCACACACACCCCACCTTCACACACTACACGCTTCACACACACACTTATCCCTACACCCCACACCCCTACACCCTCCTTCACCCTCACACACCTACATCCTCACACACCCCTACACCCCTCACACACCCACCCTCACACACACCCCTACACCTCACACCCCACCCTCACACACCCCTACACACACCCCTACATCCTCCACACACACCCTACACCCTCACACACCTACACCCTCACACCACACCCCTACACCCTCACACCACACCCCTACACCCTCACACGCACACCCCCTACACCCTCACACACACACACACACACACACACACACACACACACCGGCTCCTACTACCACCTGAGATCCCTTGTCCGAGGTGCTGTTCGACACCACAACAGCCCATACGTGCACAGGCAGTCGCTATAAGAACAGCCCAGTCCCAACCATTGTTATAAAATTATCAATAACTTGTAATAAATCAATTATTCACTCCCAGTAAACTGCTCCTTACACTATCACTATATTTGAAATGAACTGTAGTTTGAGCTTTTCCCCATCTAGTTATTATGTCTTATTTGTGTCACTTATGTTACTTGTATATTATTGTAATTCAACATTCCCAAATATGTAACTGTATTTTCAGCCTTCTGGCTGCTAAACTCTTTCAATAAACCGTTAATTATTATTATTATTATTACACACACACCCTACACTTTCACACACACCTCACCCTCACACACACCCTGCCTACACCTCACACCCTTTCACCCTCACACCCCTACGCCTCACACACCCCTACACCCTCACACACACCCTACACCTTCACACCTACACCCTCACACCACACCCTACACCTCACACACACACCCTACACCTCACACACACCCCTACACCCTCACACACACCCCTACACCTCACACCCCACACCCTCACACACACCCCCTACATCCTCACCCCCTACACCCTCACACACCCCTACACCCTCACACACACCCTACACCCTCACACCCCTACACCCTCACCGCACCTACACCCTCACCCCACACCCCTACACCTCACACACTACACCTCACACACACCTACACCCCTCACACACACCCCTACACCTCCACACTACACCCTCACACACACCTACACCCTCACACACCCCCTACACCCTCACACACACCCCTACACCCTCACACACCCCTACACCCTCACACACACCCTACACCTCACACGCTACACACACCCCTGCACCTAACACACACCTCACACCCCAACACCTAACACACACACACACACACACACACACACACACAGACACACCCCTACACAAACACACACCTCACCATCACACACACACACACACACACACACACACACACACACACACACATAACTCACTCCTTCCTTCTGACCATCACATATAACTAAGAGCCTATACTATGCAACCTAGGAGAGAGGAGAGAGAGAGAGAGAGAGAGAGGCATGCAGAAGTGACCTGAAGATTCTCATAAAGCTTTTTGGGGGGGGTATAAATGACGAATTCTGGGATACATGATTCCTTTATCGTCAGATTTTTCTGGGTGACGGAGTATAAGATCTACCTTAGTGATCTGACCGCTGCTAATGAGGAGCCATCCGTCGGAGACTCCAGACCTGCTTTAGTGGACAAGGCTAGACCGCTCTGTCGACATCCTCTTGAGGGGATTTTTTCCTCCGTCAGCACCGAGTTTCACGCACATGCCTCTTTTGGTGGTCAGGAAGACTCGACTCCTTACAGTGTTCCAGCAGTATTGTCTTTGGGTATATGCCTTGATGGTGAGGGAGGAGGGAGGAAGAGAGGGTAGGGGTGTGTGGGGGTGTTATAGGTGAAGGAAGCGAAGGATATGTATAACACCACAGAGGACAGGTGGGCGGCTGGGGAGAAGGAGGAGGAGAGGTGGGACCAGGAGAGAAGAGGAGGACCAGGAGGGAGGGGAGGGACCAGGAGGAGGAGAGGAGGGACCAGGAGGAGGAGGGACCAGGAGGAGAGGAGGGACCAGGAGGAGGAGAGGAGGGACCAGGAGGAGGAGGAGGGACCAGGAGGGAGGGAGGAGGGACCAGGAGGAGAGGAGGGACCAGGAGGAGGAGGACCAGGAGGAGAGGGACCAGGAGGAGAGAGGAGGGACCAGGAGGAGGAGGAGGGACCAGGAGGAGGAGGAGGACCAGGAGGAGAGGAGGGACAGGAGGAGAAGAGGAGGACCAGGAGGAAGAGGAGGGACCAGGAGGAGGAGGACCAGGAGGAGGGACCAGGAGGAGAAGAGGAGGGACCAGTTGGAGGAGAGGAGGACCAGGATTGGAGGAAGGAGGACCAGTTGGAGGAGAGGAGGACCAGGAGGAGGAGAGGAGGGACCAGGAGGGAGAAAGAGGAGGACCAGGTGGAGGAGGACCACCAAGAGGAGGAGAGGACAAGGAGGAGGACTCAGGTAGCGATGTATACACGGGTGTCTGCTGCAGTATAAAATGTCACAGAACCTTGTTTTTTCATGGGTGAGAGAGAGAGAGAGAGAGAGAGAGAGAGAGAGAGAGTACCTGTGATCAGCTCTCTGGCAGGGGTACCTTCAGTGAAATATTCCGTGTAGGTACTCTCAATCTACCTCACCTGGCGGGTCCGCTGCTGTGTGTTGCTCCTGAGGTCGGGGGTCAAGAGTTCACTCCCGCCCAAAATGAAACAGCATCGACCCCAAATGAGATACAACTTGGTCAGGGTAAGTCAGTTCGGAGACTCATTCCCGTGACTCGGTTTCGCCACGGGGAGTGAACTTTGGTCCCCGGTTGTACATCATTAAGTGTAGCGACGCTTACAGCTCACACAGGTGTACTTGTATGTTGCTGACAGTGGAGTATGTTGTATGTTGCTGACAGCGGTGCAATGTTGCCAACACAGGTGTATATTGTATGTTGCTGACAGTGGTGTATGTTTCTGGCCTTCATAATGAGGTGTGGCAAGACGGACACATTCCAACACCCTCCAACATTGTCAACACTTTAAATCAGCACAAAATCCGGATTGGCCAGACAAAAACTGAAACAAAACGATAATAAGAGACGAACGACTTCATAATATTAAATAACTCGTCTTGTACATTTACATGTATTCAATGACTTTAATATTATACACTTAGGTAGTTATTACTGTCCCATTGTGAGTTAGTTAATTTGTGTTTAATGTTCTTATATGAGGAAGATTTGGCGGCATTAGAGGTGACTGGTGATTAAGTCTTGGGTATTGATATGCCAGTTTTCAGTCCATACACACACACACACACACACACACACACACATACACATATTATGGCTCGTCTCTCATGGGTTACCTGAAGATTAAACACCCTAACGCTACCTGGTGGTGGTTTAGGTTAGGTTAGGTTAGGTTAGGTTAGGTTAGGTTAGGGTTAGGTTAGGTTGGTTGTACTAGATTAGGTTAGGTTAGGGTAAGTAAGAGTAGAATAGACTAGATTAGGTTTGGTTAGGTTAGGTTAGACTAGCTTTGGTTAGGGCAGGTTAGGCTAGACTAGATTTGGTTAGGTTAGGCTAGATTCAGTTAGGTTAGATTAAGGTTTGGTTAGACTAGATTTGGTTAGGGCAGGCTAAGGATTGGGTTTGGTTAGATTAGACTAGATTTGGTAATAGGTTAGGTTAAATTAAGTTAGCGTGGTTTAATCATCAAGCCGAAATAAACTGGGGGTGTGTAATCTTCAGGTGGATCCTCTCATATAATAGAGCCATCGAGGGAGTGAGTCTGGTAAGATTTTATGATCATTGTAATAGTTCCTGTCATAATAAATTACTATGAACTATACCCCGTGTTGTACTCATGGTATTAACTCAAGCCAACCATGAATATTCCCCCCTCTCACTCCTCTCCCCCCTCCCCCCACCCTCTCTCCCTCTCTCTCTCCCCCTCCCCTCTCTCCTCCCTCCCTCTCCTCTCCTTTATCTGATGAAATTTTAATGTTTGTGTTATTAAGGTGAACGAATATACCTGCCTTGGTGTCTGGACGAGGGAGAGGGTGGTGACAAGAGACGAAATATGGGGATTTTTTTTGTTTGGGGCGTAAACATAAATGTAAATACAAAACCTTAACCTGACCTGACCTGACCTGACCTGACCTAACCTAACCTAGCTACGGGGAATTTTTATATTTGTGGCTAAAAAAAAAAGATGAGATATTAAACCAAAACAAAAGATGAAAAAGCGAAAATATGGGGAACTTTTACACGTGACGCCTACAAAAACTCATTTATTAAGAGAAAACAAAAGTATTCAGAAGCTAAAATTGCAGGGAACTTTTATTTTTGTTGTTCTCCTCAAAAAAAAAAAGACTCATTAAGACAAAACAAAAGATGTGGTGACGAAAGGATTGGATGTCGTAAAAGGGGGGTGGGTGGGGGGATAAAGGCAGCTATAAGAGGATCAGACCCCCCGCGTGCGATGCTCCGCTGGGGTGTGACGGCCAGATTACACGCTCCTTATATTCACGCCGCCTTATCTATACACTCCTTGTTATGCAACTACCTGTAGGACCCAGGCAACATCAGAAACACTTGGCCTTCACCTGTATGAGTTAGGGAACCGCAGCAACACCTGTCTACGCACCAGCAAGAGCCAGGCAACACCTGTCCACACACCTGTAAGAACCAGGCAACAGTAGCAACACCTGTCTACACACCTGTAAGACCCAGGCAACACCTCTCTACACACCTGTAAGAGCCAGGCAACAGCAGCAACACCTGAATACACACCTGTAAGAGCCAGGCAACAGTTGCAACACCTAACCACACACTAGACCGTAGTGGTAGAATTATCTATATTCTACTGCTATAGATATAAAACAGAAGATCTATCTATCTATCTATCAGTGTGTGTGTAGCAAGACGTACGGTAGAGCCGGTAGCGTCGGACTCAGCTGGTAGATGACGCAAATGGAGAAGTCAGCCGCCGGTCCATTACTATGAGTGAGCATCTCTACCGGTTGTGGGCAGCGGTTGTAGGAGGTGATGGCGTGGGTCTTGATGGGTTGTGGGCAGCGGTTGTAGGAGGTGATGGCGTGGGTCTTGATGGGTTGTGGGCAGCGGTTGTAGGAGGTGATGGCGTGGGTCTTGATGGGTTGTGGGCTTGTAGGAGGTTGATGGTGGGTGATGGGTTGTGGGGCAGCGGTTGTAGGAGGTTGATGGCGTGGGTCTTGATGGGTTGTGGCGGCGATTGTAGGAGGTGATGGCGTGGGTCTTGATGGGTTGTGGGCAGCGGTTGTAGGAGGTTGATGGCGTGGGTCTTGATGGGTTGTGGGCAGTGGTTGTAGGAGGTTGATGGCGTGGGTCTTGATGGGTTGTGGGCAGCGGTTGTAGGAGGTTGATGGCGTGGGTCTTGGATGGGTTGTGGGGCAGCGGTTGTAGGAGGTGATGGCGTGGGTCTTGATGGGTTGTGGGCAGCGGTTGTAGGAGGTTGATGGCGTGGGTCTTGATGGGTTGTGGGCAGCGATTGTAGGAGGTGATGGCGTGGGTCTTGATGGGTTGTGGGCAGGTTGTAGGAGGTTGATGGCGTGGGTCTTGATGGGTTGTGGGCAGCGGTTGTAGGAGGTTGATGGCGTGGGTCTTGATGGGTTGTGGGCAGCGGTTGTAGGAGGTTGATGGCGTGGGTCTTGATGGGTTGTGGGTTGATTACTGAGTTGTGGTGTAGGGATAGTTGTGTTGTGGCGTAGTGGTGACTGGTCGTTGACGTACAGGTGGGCAGGGCGTTGTTGGGGTCGGGGTGAATCAGGGCTCCTGGGTGAGTTGGGGGCGGGTCAGGGCAGGGCAGGGCAGGGTAGGGTAAGGGAGGGTTGAATGCTCCTGGGTGGTGTATATCAGAGAATGGTTGAGGTTTACACCGTACCTCCCGCTGGGTCCTGAGATGACCCCACCACCGACCGCATCAACACACATTATATATTGGTCAGATCTATACATCACACACACACACACACACACACACTCTCTCTCTCTCTCTCTCTCTCTCTCTCTCTCTCTCTCTCTCTCTCTCTCTCTCTCTCTCTCTCTCTCTCTCTCTCTCTCTCTCTCTCTCTCTCTCTCTCTGTATACGGTACAGGTACAGTGACGCTCCCTGTTGTGACGCTGTACCCCAGGAATAACTTGCCCACAAACACTAAGTAAACACCGGTGGTAATACTAGTTTTTACAGTAGCCATTAAGGAGATAATGGGTGTATTACATAATAGAGAAACAAGATTATTATGCGTTAAAGTTTGTTAATACCTGTTCATTTTTATCACACCTGTTGAAGTTTATTAATGAACGCAGGTGTGTGACGGTAATATACACACACACACACACACACACCAAAGTTTATGTGAATATTGTGTGAAATCTATCGCATCATTATCACTTATTAGTATTTATTTACGAGTCCAAAGAAAAGAATATTTACTTCCGCTTTGATATTCCTTCGTCAAGATATAGTTGTTGAATATTAGTAAGAATATTAACTTGTGGCCTGCATGTTAAACAGGAGAGGGGGAGGGGGAATATGACATCTTAATTGAATTTATTGTACAGTTTACCACCATTAGTGTACACCGTCTGGGGATGTATACGAGACTAAAGGTAAAGAGTATATGGTAGTGAAGATGTGTCTTAATTAACCTGTGCTTTATTCTCTGGTCTGGGAGTTTGACGTGTGTTATATGCATAGGTCATTATTATATCAGGTTTAATTTGAGTTCCTGTTTGGTCGTGTGGGTGTTACTGGTGATAGTGTTGTCATTATTTGTGTTGATGATAATACTAGTGTTGTCAGCTGATAGTATAGTGTTGTCAGCTTAGAGTATAGTGTTGTCAGTATACCCAGTGTTGTCATTACTTTTTTTGGACTAGTGTTGTCAGTGTACCCAAAAAAAAACGTTTTACAGATCACTAGAAGATTAACTCCCAACTTATTTCAACTATGATTAAACACCTCAAAGTTACCTTAGGGGTTTAGGTTAGGTTAATGACAGGGTGGTTAATCTTCAGGTGATTTACATTATGATTTTCCTTAGGTTGCCATGTTATTGACCCAGCTGCCAGACTCGGTGTTCCTTCTTGAATGGTTTTTAAACTGTGGGGCGTCGCTGAGCTTTATACAACCACTAGCAACGTTCACCTCCACTCATGTGTATAAGGTGAATGTTGTTGGGACTGGCTTTGGGTCACCTGAAGATTAAGCCCTATAGCTTATTTTACATTTTGGTTTATCATCCTAACGTTAACCCGTAGTTAGAGCGGGCCGGGGGGGCGTAGTGAAGAACCCCTTTTGTTTATATACTGTATTAATATTGAAGCAGTTTATTTAGCCAGAACACAGATACAGAGTCGATAACAATAACAATATTAACATGACTGAGCCAGTTGAGAGGCTGAGCTCTCCTGTAGGCACCTGATATATACAGTACATTTATCTCAAGGAAGTATTATGTAACATTTAGTATCATCTGGAATAGTACAATAACATGGTGGTAATAAGAACATCTCAGAATATTACCACGATTATCACTTCGATATTTGTATTTATTTTATTTATTTTTTTACATTATATTATACTTATATACATACTTTACAGTGGAGTTGATATACATAAATATGATAAGGGAGGGAAGCAGTACAACACGGGTTGTATTTTAAGGTGGAACAAGAGGACAGAACTGTCAGTATTATGTCTAGTTGGCAAATATATTTATTGCAATGGTAGTTTCTGTCTATCTACATTAATTTTTTTTATACAACGGTTTTGGCGGTACGATAAGAGTGCCGGGGTGCAGTGAGGAACCCGTGATGTGAGAGGGCCGGGGGTGAACATAAGAATGAAGGAAACTGCAGCGGGCCAATTGGCCCACTCTGGGCACTCCCGTTTACACCCAACCCCTATCGCTCATATATCCATCCAACCTATGTTTGAAGCTACCCAGCGTATTCGAGTTAATGATGATGTTTGGTAACTTGCTTCACTCATCCACTACTCTGTTTCCATACCAATGTTTACCTATCTCGCGCCTAAATCTAAGTTTGTCTAATTTAAAACCATTGTTACGAGTTCGCTCCTGGTTGGATAGTTTGAGTACCTTTGTCACCTTTGTTTAGCCCTGACTTCCATTTATATACCTCGATCATATCGCCCCGTCTCTCGAGGGAGTGCAAATTAAGATGCTGAGTAAGTGAGGAAGCTTGTGAAGTGTGTGTTGGTCAAGAGCATGGGGATGAATAATTCTGTCGAGTCAGTCAGTCAGTCACT